AATAAAATAGCTGTTTTTAATTTCTGATCAATTTGTCAAAGTCGTGTTGTTAATATTACAATGTTTTCTACTTGTTTTCCCTTGGCAATAAAACAATTTATCAAACTCAAATTAAAACAAACTGAATCATTTGCAGCAATTACAAGATTGAATCTTTTACACATTCTCGGGCAGAATGAGACTTATTGGAGCCATACAGGTAACATTTAAAGTAATAACAAGAAGCATCCGCTTAACCATTTCCGATAGAGATACGGTATTGGAGCCGAACAGCTTTTCTCCAAGCAGTAAAGATCAGGGGTCGTACTATACCTAACCTTGTAGAGTTCACTTGATTGTCTTGTTAGTACTGACATAGGGGCCCTCGAGAATCAGGCTCTGTCATAATGACCCTTATTGTAAGTCCGCAGGCAGAAGGGTGAACCAGTATAGTAACAGTTCCAGTGCATGTCATGAAACGAACCAATGTAAATTATGATATATCAGCGTATATACTCGGAGCCTTGGTACACTTATTTCTAACCGATGTGTTTTTAGATATGTAATGTTTCGTATATGTAATATGCTAAGTGCCTTTCACAACTGTCATTTTTTCTGGAATAATTATAGGATTGACTCATGTGTACAGTAATATGTGTATGTAATTTGTACATAATACAATAATATAAGAAAATTATTATTGTTGAAAAGCATTTTTCTCAGCAAGTGCCCTCATCACATTAGTAGAATAGCATTTTTGGTTACTTGAATGGACATTACCTGATTAATGAGAAGCCATTATGTTGATATTTGCATTTTACAATTTCATAGATCGTTGATATCTAAATTCGGCTCGTGTTGAATTGGTGATCAATGCAATTTCTCCCTAATTGGACGTTATATATCAATTTTATGTCAGTAATGCTTGAACATTTACTTCCTTTTCGATTTAGTTGGAAAGGAAGTGAATGCCTGAAGTGAATAAGCCTTTCGGAATGAAATGAGAAAGTCTCGTCGTGCTCGATTATTAAAACACTTGTACTTCAGGCAAACGCTGATTTATCTCATGTATATTTGCATGTAAAGAGAATACATTTGCCGCATTAAGTCGTTTTGTAGCTATTATGCCATGCAATGGAATTACGTCCGCCAGGCTTTTTATCTCAGAAAAGGTTTGAATAAATCATCATCAGTACCTGCTATTAATACTCAACGACCAAACATTTCCTAGAGGTATAATACATATTTACATGTATTCTTCCCAATCTCTACAATACCGCACTATAATCTATCACCATGGGCGTTGTATACACCACATTACAAGGTGCATATCTGGTCGCCCAATGTTACCTAGGTGTGTTTAATGCAGTTAATGGGACAACTTTAAAAGGTTAATACAAAGACCGTTCCCCGTCTCTCTAACGTTGGTCAACCGTCGCTGCCAGGCTGGAAAACCTTCTTCCTAAATTGACTGTAAGACTTCAATTATATATTCCACTGGCCTTTCAGACAGATTAGGCTGCAAAATCTCAGCATAGCGCCATTAAACGCCCCGCGTTAATCGCCATTTTCTCACAAATATATCAGCGGTGACAAGACATTTAGGCGTCCCGTACCTTTAAATACTACTTAACTGTTTTGACTGCCAGTGGGAAAATTGAGCACCTTGTCTAGCAGCGAGAACTCGCTTTCTTCCGAACTAGTATTAAGTGAACCAATCTAGCTTGAATGAGCTTTGACGTAATTCGATTTAGACGTTCAACGTGACCTTTCTATGTCATTCATACCAAGGGAGGTAACACGCTGGTGTTAAACAACCCCATTACGGGAGTTATAGCAATCATTCTAAAACAGATTTAAACAAATTCCGAGAGGTTTGTTAAATCAGCCGTGATGAAGAAAATGATGAAGAAACTGACGGGGGTTGTGGATGGCAAGGTGTGGACCAATTCCGTCAGACGAACTGACGCACACATTGCCATGACAACCGAATTTTCATTATACCAGTCATGAATAGGTATGCGTTATTGATGAGTTTAAAGCATCAGTCAGGTCCTGTTGCCAATTGACAACATTGCCCTGCTCATCTAACTTTTTATGGTCATCGATCTGGCGTGAAACAACAAGCGACTCAACACACATGTGACACGTTACTGCCAAACATCCCTTGAAAAATATTTAAGAATTGAGATTACAAATGAACAATAACCATTCATGTCTCAATATTAACATCAGAACCAGCAACATGCAATGTTTGTAAAGAACCTTCTTCGTGATGTTTTTCCTAATCGAATAAATCTATTTAGCTGAGTCGCATGCTCTTTCTACAAAGCTTTAAAAGAGCGCCATAACCCTCTTGCTCAACATTTGTATGATCAGGGTTACGGCATTCAAGGCCTGAGTAACGCTTCTAAAAAAAGCTTTATGGTAGTCATATGGAGGACATTTGGCGCATCAGTTACTAAAATTATGCCCCATGCAATTCCCTATTTGTTCCCGTGTTTGTTCAGGTGAACGCTTGACTTGCCTTTTGTATCTGTTCGTGAGGGGTGGAACCGGTTGAGAAAGACTACTCTCACATTGATTAACGGGCAAAAGAAACCAAACAATTCTGGTCTAAAACCTAACAGACGCAAAATTTAGTAACAGTTGATGTTTTATTATAAAAAAAAACAATTATTCAAAAACGGTATTTGATAATGACAAGATCAAAAACCATGTACTTAAAGTTCTGCAGAAACGTTTATCATGGGCGTTGCACTGTCCAGTATTCGATCACATACGCAGAATCGACGTCGACCTCTTTTAAAGTTTCGTGCTACACACATGGCACAGTATCGAATGTGACCCCCTCCAGCAACATGTCAAACTGAGTACACAGTCTCCTGACATCCTGATTAGGGATTCTTCCTGCAGGGCAGTTTCCAAGGTTGTTAACGTTTCCGAATCCTGCGTTCAAGTTGGTCCCAAAGGTGCTCTATGAGCGACAGGTCCGGAGATCTGGCTGGTCACTGTAATATGGTCACGTTTTTGCGTTCATAAAGTCGCTTGTGAATCGAACTGTGTGCGGGGTGGCGTTGTCCTGCTGAAACAGCGTCTGTGGGTGCCGTTGCAGGAAAGGCAGTACCACAGGCCGCATAACCTCATCAATGTAACGACTTGCAGTGAGATTTCCGTCGATGATGACCAGATCTGTCTTCTGGTCTCCGCGGATGCCACCCCAGCCCATGACACTACCACCTCCATAAGGCACCACTTCTTGGACACAACAACGTGCGTCCGTTCGCCACGTCGTCGGTAGATTCAAACCCGCCCATCAGACTTGAAGGGCTGGCACTCGTCGCAGAAGATCACTCTTCGCCAATTTCTCTGCTGTCACTGCTGTTCAGTCCTGGCCCATCTCAGTCTGTGACGTCGGTGTGGAAACGTTAATATCATGCCCTTGAAAGGTCGATAGGCACGGTGACCATACAGGCTGAGTCGTCTAGCAACGGTCCTTTTGCTGACTGGATGTCCAAGGCTGTTTGCGGATGATGACGCCCCAGCTAGGAATCTAGACGTGTTGCAATCTGGCGATGGTGCACTTGAAGCAGCCAATGATCCTGGCAACGTGCTCCTGCGTCGCTCCCATTTGCAACATACCGATGGCTCTCTCCCTCTGCTCTGCGTTTAGTCTAGGCATGTTCGTTACTTTAAACGGTTTCATGTGATCAGAGAGTGCAGTCCTGCTCATGTTTTATCCCCGAATTTCATACGGGTAACTATGTGCACATTTTGCATTTTTAATGTTTACAATCACTTTTCTCGCAAATCACGTGAATCACGTGCACATGTTCACGTGCAAGATAAGTTGCATTCCAGCTATTTGTTACCAACAAGTATTTGAGTTACATGACGGCGTGTCAACCGAAAGTCGGAAGAAGTAGTGAGGTCTTGGGCGTTTTACTTTGCTGAAACTCGCGGGCACGGGTACGTGTTTACAAACCTATGATCAGGGTGAAGCTGGGATTCGAACCAGGGTCATAGATTTCTGTAATTGGTTGCACAAGTAATAATGGAGCCATATTTTAGACGGCTGGGCCACACGTGCCCCCACGCGAAATGATGTATACATGGACACGTATGTTGAAATAAATGCAGCGCACTCGCAATTATTACTTGAGCACCAGGCGATTCAGTGGGTCAGCATTAGAGCTTAGTATCGCCTGGTTTCATGCGATACGATTCGTATCACGATACGGACTGACGATACTACTGGTATCACGATACACATCAAATAGAAAGAAATGATGAAATCAGTGAAATACAGCGCTGAAACTTTTTTCTTCATACAGTTATTTATTGTTATCTGAAAAACTTTTACAAAGAAAACCACAAGAACTAAACGGTTTTAAATGAAGGGATGGTTATTAAATGCAACAGTTAGTCGGCACGTCGTCAGCTTCCACGTCCTTGTGTTCTGCCACGCTTACAGGTCGCGCTGGTCGACTTCTGCAATTTCGGGAAGTAACTCTATTAGTTCCTGATCTATTTATAGCTTATCGCGATCTCACAGACTGACGATTCAAGTATCGTGTGTAACCGAGTATCGATTAAATCGTTATATCGGCGAATCGTTACAGCCCTAGTTAACATAGTTGTTAAATGTTCGCTCACAACCACGAATGTCTGGGTTATATTACCCACATGGGTATAAGTTTGTTTGTTTGTTTGTGTGTTGTTTAACGCCGCACTCAGCAATAATCCAGCTATTTGACAGTGGCCTCCAAATAATCGATGACATGCATCAACCAAGTCATCTTGCCTGCCAACCCGATCCCGTTAGTCGCCTCTTACGACAAGCATAGTCGCCTTTTACGACAAGCATGGGTTGCAGAAGAACTATTCTACCCTGGATCTTCACGGGTGACATGAGTATAAAGCGTGCCACCCGTATCAATGAGCAGATATTGTTACCGATTATAACATAGCATTCCGATTTCAATGTGTCGTGGCTTATTCTATTTGTTTTCTGGTTGCAGATAGTAACGGCAATACCGTCATCGTCCGTAACTGTGTCGTCGACGACGGGGGCACAAACTCCGAGACAGAGATCGGTCGACAAAGTCACTGTGGTTGGATGAGAGTGCTAAAATATAACGGCAAGGAAATGCGTGGATGCATACTCAGCTGCGATTCGGACGCTTGTAACAGTGCTGTGATGTCATCGATGACGTCGCACTGGATGACGTCACTATTCGTCTTGTGGATTTTGTATCATTGGAACTCAATCTCAGGGATAATCGTAGGAGTGGAAAGTTGAGTTTTGTGAGACATCGCATCTGTGTACAGAAGAACTTACAACAGTTTCTGAGGATTCTGTTTGAGAAGGGAAAACAATGGCAGTGAGTCTGCAACCAGAGATGAATGACGTTCCTCTTATTGACGTGGTAGTCCAACAGTGCAAATGACATTTATATATGTTTTATATACACGGATGAAGGGAACCAATCTTCTAGAAAACCAGCCTGTATGTATTCCATATTGTAGCGTGTGAATCATGTACACACTTACATGTCAAAGCCTATATCCGTATGTCATACACTGGGTTCAAAATTCCCTTGATAATGGTTCCAAATCGTGAATGGTTTCATCAATATTTATAATGTGTAAAAGTGTAAGAGAGACTATGCTACTTGAGCTGTTGTCCATCTGTTGTCCAGGCCTACTAAAGTCATCTTTGTGAGAAGGACAATCCTGGACCGCGAGACAAATTAAGTGAGTTTTGACTTTCTTGGACTGTTATTTGGCCTCAGCCGTCCCCAGTTAAGATCACCAACGCAATCACAGAGGTTGCTATGGTAACCTGAATAACTATGTACATTACTGTACAAATAGCCATGTATTTGCAGTTGTTATCGTTGTTTCCCCAGTGGATTTCGCTGGTTTAGATGACATGTTTAATTAGCTACTGATCACTATACCTTATTCTGTTATATTCATGAAAGTTATTTGTTTATGTTATCCTTCTCCCTTTGCACAATGTATGTTGTTATCTCGTGTTGTTTTCCTGGAAGAATATTACAATAATAAGCATCATGTTTCAGCACCTGGAATAAACAGCAGCTCTACGAGGTTCCTACTGAGAAAGAAAACATGTTTATCACTGCACTAAACAAGTTTGAAATTGTGGGTTACGACAAAAGTATATATGGTTACGTTCTTGTTCGTCTACCTTATGACTGAGGGCAATTGGTTGTTGGCAGCAATGACATCCAGACCACACAGATCTGAGAAATGGTTATTTGTTTGATATCGGAATAGATGGTACTGGAAGCACGATTGACATGATTTGGTAAGGCTAGTGATGTAATGTATTGATTCAATGAATGGCAGGGGCGGTCGGATAGCCTAGTGGTTAAAGCGTTCTCTCGTCACGCCGAAGACCCGGGTTCGATTCCCGACATGGGTACAATGTGTGAAGCTCATTTCTGGTGTCCCCCGCCGTGATATTGCCGGAATATTGCTAAAAGTTGCGTAAAACCATACACACTCACTCACTCAATGAATGGCATATCATACAAGTACACGGGGAAGCTTACAAGTGAGAGAAACTGCCCACTTCGTGGTGTTAACATAAAAGCTTTAAATGTGGACTTGCCTTTGAAATTATATTTTCCGTGGTACGTAACGTTGTCTGATAATTGGTGTATGACTAGACATGATTTATCATCATAATTATCAAGGCATTTCTTTTTCATATAACATCGCTCTATACTCAGACAGGATTGTACGTAACCATTTTTTCTGTCACCAAGAGCCTTTTTGGTCAATAATTATCAAGTCCATACACCTTTGTCTCACAAGATATATCGTCCACATCCCCCAAGAGGTATTAACATTTTGTATGACCACCTGTCCTTTTTCACACAGTGAGTTTGTTTTACTCTTTCCAACACCCCTTGGTCCTGTTCTTCATCATATCGTTCACTGGATCTGCAGTATAAAACATACCATCTCATCCTTGTTAATTCATTAGGGGGGCACGGGGGGCCCACTCGTCAAAGGCACCGCAATTCGCTGTTGAGAGTTGCGTCCCTTGGACACTTCAGAATCCTATAATGGTTTCGAATCATGGTTCACCCCGATTATGATTCTAGGTTTGTCAGCACCATACATGTGCTCGTGGTTTCTCCGAAGTGGTAAACGTCTGAGACTTGCATCACTGAGACCTGCATCACTTAAACCTAAAACGACGTGATAAAACTGGAATACTCTTTAAAGCGGCGTTAAATTCATCAGGCGTAAGGGTTGTTTGTTGGTCGTTTACAAGTATGTGTTAGGTTGTTCCTCAGCATGTACAGTTATAGCCTCGGTATACCGGACCCTGTTACTTCGAAAAAACCTTTCGGGCGATTAATTCTATTCGATATCTACATATATCTACACGGAGGGGATTCCGTCCGGATTAACGAGGGTAAACAGTCCAACCCACAACTGGAACCGTTACATGTAAGAACATGTCCCCTAAACCGATTTTCCAACCTGTTCAGTTTCCCCTATCGATTACCATGGTAACAAATTGGTTTGAGATACTATGCCATCAATTGTCCATACTTGAACAAAACCGTCTATATTGAAACCAGCCACTTGTCTATTCCTACTAGGTAATATACACTAGTTCCAGGCAACTGTAGTTTGTTTAAAAAGAAATCTAGTATAACCATCCATATTGTTGGAAGTGAATACGTAGCATGACCTTGTTAATCCGGGCGACATAATTACCAGTGACACATGTATAACTACGATTTGTTTCCACATGTGAAACATGAAGTATCACCAGATTAACTATTACCAGTAACTATTACCTAGTACCCCAACGCTTCTGTCAGGGAGAATGAGTGTCCGCATTATCGTCGTCCGGAGTAACAAGGTTAAATGTACCAGCATGCCACGTTTTCTAATGTATCTCTATTCCAAATGCATGTTCATTAGCTTGAGGTATTTTTCTAATAGAATTATTGATATATGAGACGTATGTTTGTTTGTAATTCTTATCTCATCTGTTTTCTGAAAATTGTGTCGTACTGATGCATTACTGTTTGTTGTATATTCAGAAAAATATATTCTGTACCAGTTGTAATTTCTTCACAATATATACAATAAAGTTCTTTTTATCTTACGTTCCATGTCTTTTAAAATGTTTGATATATATTGTGGAAATATGAATTGCAGTAAGTGTAGCATGTTGATCAACAATAGAAGATTTATAGACGTGTAATTCAGACGTTTCTGGGGCTCTAGCAGCTCTGCATCAGTTTTGGCTAGATATATACAGATGCGCATTGGTGAAGCACCACTCACTTCTTTGGATTTGCATTAAAATGGCCTGGTGTGAATCATTTTTGGAAACACGACAAAAGAGTAGTAAAATGACATACAAAACACCATCACACGTCTTAATAGTCTAAAAATGTTCATTTTAACAATGCTGAAAGGTAACAGGAACCAGCCCACACCACGAATCGGACTGTCGCATTATGAAGTGAAAAACGATTACTGTCAGCCTAGGAATCACTACTATCCCTGCAACTAGTATTTGGAGTATCCAACCCTCTAACGGATGACTTTCACGAGGCCTCGATCGTCTCTTCCTGCTCATCAGCCGTCTGATTTTCAACACTAGGATCCTCTGTCATTCCTGGTGCAGAGTCGGGGTCAGTTCATTCAGGTGTTGAACTGGCGGGCCTCCAGCTCTGACTTGGTGGCCAAGGTAATCACAGAGGTGTTCAACTGGGTTCAGGTCAGGGTGCGTTATTATTTTGCGGAATTGGATTTTGAATCAGGTGGTGCTTGATTAGGGACCGACCATTTTTCTGGGGGTGAGGTTGGGGGTGGTGTGGTGTTGCCTGATTTATTTTTTTAAGAAGACTTGTGTCACATTACAACAATAATTACAGTGTTTAAGATTAAGGTTCAGTTTTGAATAAAGAATATTTTGGTTTTGTAGACGTAGCTTAAACAATATCTAATCTAGATGCAAAATCACAGTTTGTATGATAAAGGTGTCGGATACGTGTACTATCCTGAAGACATATTGAATATGATAGCGTCAACATTTACTGTTTTTGAATCCTAAAGGACACAGGTGGCTAAGTCGTCTAAGGCGCCGCAATTCGCTGTGCAGAGGTGCGTCCATTGGGCTCGCCAGAAACCTATGATTGTGGGTTCGAATCCCTGATCCCCACGATTAAGTTTCTAGATTTGTCTACACCATACCCGTGCCCGTGGGTTTCACCGTAATGGTAAACGTCTAAGACCTGCATCACCTCGGGCTTTCCTCCCACATTAAGCTGACACGCCGTGATATAACTGGAATGTACTGTTCAAAACGGCGTTAAAACCAACTCACCTACTCACAAAATAAAATGATAATGGCAGGCAAGAAAGGAGCTTTGACGGATGACATTGTCCACTATATCCAGAGGGCTTACGTGCTTCCTGTTTTGCCAACAATAGATACAACCCATTAACCGTCCATCTGGGGAGGGGGTGAGGGGGGTGAGAAAGGGTTGATTACTGACAGCCTGAGGCCTCTTGGACAGCAGCTGGACAAATAGATGAGCCATTCTGTGATGGATCTCTGGTTCATGTCTCTCCCCTTGTAGTGAGTGAGTGAGTGAGTTAAAGTTTAACGTCACATCGGCAATATTTCAGCCATATCGTGACGAAACAAAATTTGACATCAACAATATATATTAAACTGTATAAAATTCTGCCGACGAAGGGCAGTATAATAACTAGAACATCACAGATTTACATAAAACTAGTTAGAGAACATGTAAAAATATATTATCATTTTGCAACACAATATAAAAACAGGCTATAGATCGCCAACAACTAAAGGTAGATCACCACGCCATGGGGACTTACAGTACTTTTGCTACCTGCATGGACCCCAGCAGGATTTACACCATCCCTTCAGTGGTTGGCGATTATTGTCAATTTAGCCGCATTAAAAGAACATATATTCTGCGATTAAAATCGTGGTAGTAATAAATATACTGTGAATGACGTGGACTTACGGTCTCCCCTTGTATATACAATGGATCATGATTATGGTGATGATAATATTGATGTGCAGTCTGATAGCGCTCATCGGGTATATGAAAACGTGATGGCATTGATGGTTTCAGCGCCTCTGATGTTCTCAGTGATGATGATAACTCCCAATACAGTCAGAGGGTAATGCTTTTTCAGCCCTTCTGCAGTTAACCTCAATGAGTATGATGTTATGATGACGAAGAGGAGGATTAGGGATGGAAGAATTGTGGCATCGGCATGGTTTTAAAGGAATGAGTTCTCATAAGCTTTGGATACTTAGGATGTTGATGATATATTCAGAATGATAATGTTCAGTATGTATATTGCGATAATGCGGTAATACGCCACAGGGTTATTACGAGGACCACAAAAACCCGTGATTGGAATTATGAGCAACGATCCATGCCGTCGGGGTACGCTGACGTGCTTCCAAGAAAGTTTCTGAAACTGACCACCCGATCCATTAAGTGCGATAACCATAGGTTGCTGGTGACCAATTCTAACCTGGAGTCGATTTCTTATATTTTCTACAAGAATCCTTCCTGTCGCTCTTTCAAACCTTTACCACCCCACCACATCATCATGTTATACACTACAGAGTAAGCCTAATTATAATGTCACTTTGCCTCTCGTGTCAAAGTTGCTGTCACCGACCTTAGTTTTACCAGTATGATAGATGAGAGTTTATTTTCGAAAGAGAAAGTAATTATTAAATCCAATCTTTTTTATGATTATTTTCTGTTAATTGACTTTGATGGTGACGTATAAAAATCGAATCAATCCATCTTTGTGGAAAAAAATACAGAGGAAAAAAGTATTCAGAAAACACATGACGTGATATATTTCTTTAAAATTTACAACTTACTGGAGAAAGTTTGCAGATTAGTTCTTGTTACCGTCATTCTACTTTTAACCGATCATACACAGGCACAGAGTGGCGAAACTATTGAGCGGCAACACTGAACTCTTTGCGTGCGTATGTGTTTTGTTTAACGCCAAACTCACTCCCTGAAGATACAACCAGTCTTGTGTCTCACTCCCTGCCAACACAGCAAGTCTTTTGTCTCATTCCCTGTCGACACAGACAGTCTTCTGTCTCATTCCCTGTCGACACAGCCAGTCGTATGTCTAACTCCCTGCAGACGCAACCAGTCGTCTGTCTCACTCCCTGCAGACACAACCAGTCGTATATCTCACTCCCTGCCAACCTAACTAGTCGTATGCCACGAACTCATCCAACATAACCAGTCATCTGTCTCACTTCCTACCAACACAACCAGTCGTCTGTCTCACTCCCTGCAGACACAACCAGTCGTCTGTCTCACTCCCTGCAGACACAACCAGTCGTCTGTCTCACTCAATGCAGACACAACCAGTCGTATGTCTCACTCCCTGCCAACACAGCCAGTCGTATGTCTAACTCCCTGCAGACACAACCAGTCGTCTGTCACACTCAATGCAAACACAACCAGTCTTCTGTCTCACCACCTACCAACACAACCAGTTTTCTGTCTCATTCCCTGTCGACACAACCAGTCGTCTGTCTCATACCCTGCCAACACAAACAGTCGTCTGTCTCACTCCCCGCCCACACAACCAGTCGTCTGTCCGACTCCTTGCAAAAAACACCAAGTCGTCTGTCTCACTCCCTGCAGACACAACCAGTCGTATGTCTCACTCCCTGCAGACACAAACAGTCGTATGTCTCACTCCCTGCAAACCTAACCAGTCGTATGCCACGAACTCATCCAACATAACCAGTCATCTGTCTCACTTCCTACCAACACAGCAAGTCTTCTGTCTCATTCCCTGCAGACACAACCAGTCTTCTGTCTCATTCCCTGTCGACACAGCCAGTCGTATGTCTCACTCCCTGCATAAACAACCAGTCGTCTGTCTCATACCCTGCCCTCACAAACAGTCGTCTGTGTCACTCCCTGCCCACACAACCAGTCGTCTGTCCGACTCCCTGCAGACGCAATCAGTCGTCTGTCTCACTCCCTGCAGACACAACCAGTCGTATGTCTCACTCCCTGCACACACAACCAGTCGTATATCTCACTCCCTGCCAACCTAACTAGTCGTATGCCACGAACTCATCCAACATAACCAGTCATCTGTCTCACTTCCTACCAACACAACCAGTCGTCTGTCTCACTCCCTGCAGACACAACCAGTTGTCTGTCTCACTCAATGCAGACACAACCAGTCGTATGTCTCACTCCCTGCCAACACAGCCAGTCGTATGTCTAACTCCCTGCAGTCACAACCAGTCGTCTGTCTCACTCAATGCAAACACAACCAGTCGTATGTCTCACCACCTACCAACACAACCAGCCTTCTGTCTCATTCCCTGTCGACACAACCAGTCGTCTGTCTCATACCCTGCCAACACAAACAGTCGTCTGTCTCACTCCCCGCCCACACAACCAGTCGTCTGTCCGACTCCTTGCATAAACAACCAGTCGTCTGTCTCACTCCCTGCCAACCTAACTAGTCGTATGCCACGAACTCATCCAACATAACCAGTCATCTGTCTCACTTCCTACCAACACAACCAGTCGTCTGTCTCACTCCCTGCAGACACAACCAGTTGTCTGTCTCACTCAATGCAGACACAACCAGTCGTATGTCTCACTCCCTGCCAACACAGCCAGTCGTATGTCTAACTCCCTGCAGACACAACCAGTCGTCTGTCTCACTCAATGCAAACACAACCAGTTGTATGTCTCACCACCTACCAACACAACCAGTCGTATGTCTCACTCCCTGCAGACACAACCAGTCGTATGCCTAACTCCCTGCCGACCCAACTAGTCGTATGCCACGAACTCATCCAAGATAACCAGTCATATGTCTCACTACCTACCAACACAACCAGTCGTCTGTCTCACTCCGTGCAGACACAACCAGTCGTATGTCTCACTCCCTGCCAACACAGCCAGTCGTATGTCTAACTCCCTGCAGACACAACCAGTCGTCTGTCTCACTCAATGCAAACACAACCAGTTGTATGTCTCACCACCTACCAACACAACCAGTCGTATGTCTCACTCCCTGCAGACACAACCAGTCGTA